TGTATCTTTAGTGGCACATTTAGGCCATTTATATTCAGTGCTATTATTGATAGGTGTGAGTTTACTGCTGTCATTTTGATGTAATTTTTTTTTGTGTGTGTTGACAGTTTCTGTGTTCTGCTTAATTTTCTGTGCTGAGTTCTTTTTATGTATTTTTTCATTATTTTTGATTTTGAGTTTGCTGAGTCTTTATGTTTTTGTTCTTTTTTATTTTGACATGTAGGTTTGTTAGCTTCCTTTGTGGTTATCTTGAAATTTTCCTCCATTTTTCTAAGTTTAAACCAATCTTTTATTTCTTGATATTGCCTTAACTTCCTCACCATATAGCAGTTCTATGACTACCCTGTTTATTCTCTCTTTTTTGTTTTGACATTGTCACTGTTAATGTATTGATGTCTCTGACTCTCTATTTTCTGTCTTCTAGCTTTGATTTGTTTTTGTAAATTCCCTATCTGGGTTGATAACTGGTTGATCTGTCCTGTGTTCTAGTCTTGGATTGTTGTCTGATATTGTTGATTCTCTAACAAGAGGACTCCTTTTAATATTTCTTATAATTTTGATTTGTTTTTCACCAATTCCCTTAACAGCTGTTTATCTGCAAATGACCTAATTTTGCCATCATATTTGAGAGACAGTTTTGCTGGATATATAATTATTGGCTGGCCACTTTTTTCCTTCCAGGCTTTATATATGTCATCCCATTGCCTTCTTGCCTGCATGGTTTCTGCTGAGTAGTCAGAGCTTAGTCTTATTGCTTCTCCTTTGTAGGTGGCTTTTCATTTATCCCTAGCTGTTCTCAAGATTCTATCTTTGTCTTTGGTTTTGGCAAGTTTGATTTTGATAATGTGTTTGTGACTTTCTTTTGAGGTCTACTCTGTATGGGGTTTGTAGAGCTTCTTGGATAGATATCTTCTTGTCTTTCATGATATGAGGGAAGTTTTCTGCCAGCAAATCTTTGACAATTCTCTTTGTGTTTTCTGTTATCCTCCCATTCTGGTACCCCAATCACTTGTAGGTTTTTCCTCTTGATGGTGTCCCACATAATTCTTAGGCTTTCTTCATTTTTTTAAATTCCTTTTTTCTGATTTTTCCTCAAATAAATTGGTGTCAAGGGATTTATCTTCAGTCTCACTAATTCTGACTTCCATTGTACTATGACCGTCTATTGAGGTGTCTAATTCTGAAATTTTATTGTTAATCTTTTGGATTTCTAGTTGCTGTCTCTGTATGGCGGCTAGCAACCTGTTAATTTTGTCATTTTGTTCTTGTATTGTTTTCCCAACTTCCTCTATTGCTTTGTCTATATGTTCTTTGGCATTGTCTGAGTTTTGACTGATCTCCTTCTTGATATCTTGGAGAGCCCTATATATTAGTCTTTCGAATTCTTTCTCAGGTGGTTCCATTGCCTTATCTTCCTCCAGAAGGGTTCTTGGTTCTTTATTTTGGTCACTTGCTGGAGCCATCTTGACCTGCTTCTATATGTTATTTGATATTGACTCTTGTCTCTGAGGCATCAATAACTTATTAGATTTATTTATTTATTGTATATTTGTTTACTGTGTCCTCACTTTTTGTTTTGTTTTGGTACGCCCAAATAGGATGGGTGTGTGAGCTACTTTGGTTGTTGGCATTTTTGAAGCTCTCACATCCTGTCTTCAGGTGATCAGAGCAGCTACTAGGTGTGTGAGCCCAAGGGTCTGTTCACTTTTCTTGTGGGAGTGTGGCACAGGTGTCCAGATCATCAGTCACTGAGTGTGTGGTTCAGACTCTCACCTACAGTCCTAGGTGGTCAGGGCTGTGTAGAGGTGTTCAGAGGAGGCACAGGTATCTGGCTGCAGTGGGGGGCTATGTGTGGAGCATGGCTGATGGCTGTGCCTGGGTGCCTGGGTGGAGGGTGTGTCCCTGTCCCTAGAGTGCATAGTGGTGGGGGGTATTGCAGATGGTCCTTGGGCACCCATTGCTGTTGGCTGGATGGACTGGGAGGCACCAGTAGTTCTCAGACTCCTGTTGTGAGTGGCTAAATGAAGTGCGTGGTACTGCCAGCCCCCAGGCCTTGGTGTGGGTGGGTGAGGCCCCTGCTTAGGGGGCAGGGCTATGTAAAATGTCATGAATCTGCAGCTCCCCCTTGGCTGCTGCAGTTGAAAATGGGCTTCAGGTGTATGCCCTGCTGTTTTATGCTAATGAGAACATGTGGTGTTGAATCGGCCCACACAGATCTGGGCAGGAGCGAAGGGCACTGCAAGTCCATGGACCCCTTATACCAGTGGGTGGGCAAAGGGGCAGGGCCTTCTGACCAGCCCTGAGTTCCTGGCTTAGGGAGCATGGCTTTTTTGATTGACATGAGACTGGTGTGGGAGCAGAGAGCCCTGAGTTCCTGGCTTAGGGGGCATGGCTTTTTTAATACTCCAGCACCTAACAACAACAACAACAACCCCACCCCACCTCCTCTAATTAGGAAAAACAGGATGATATGGCACATATTAACTGCTCAATAAATATTTGTTGAATGAACTAATAATTCTCACCACCTACGCCACCCCCTGGAAACCCTAGTGGTGTAGTGGTTAAGAGCTATGGCTGTTAACCAAAAGATCGGCAGTTCAAATCCACCAGGCACTCTTTGGAAACTCTATGCGGCAGTTCTGCTCTGTCCTGTAGGGTCGCTATGAGTCAGAATCGACTCGATGGCAATGAGTTTACCCCACCCCCACCTCCTCTAATCAGGGAAAAGAGGATTTTTTCATTTTGTCATGTTAATAAGCTGACTGCAATTTGAGGCAAAATTCTTCATAAAGAAGGTCCTAGGAAAATCATCTTGATGGATATGTTTAATTATGGGAGTCAAAGTCTACTGGGAAAAGCCTAGACTAAACAAAAGGTAAAGTGCAATACATAAGAAAGTAACAGGAATTTGTAATACAGTGGGGCTCACTGGCAGCTGGAGGAAGAGGATTGAGGAAACCAAAGAGTGAGTGGGGGGCTAGCAATTGGTAGAGAATAGCCATGATTTTTTCAATTGCCTCATATGCACATTAAAGCTGGAAAATGAAAAAGGGAGGCAGAAGAAGAATTGATGCATTTGAATTGTGATGCTGGTAAAGAATACTGAGTATAGCATGGACTGCGAGAAGAATGAATAAGTCAGTCTTAGAAGAAATTCAGCCGGAATGCTTCTTAGAATTGAGGATGGTGAGACTTTGTCTTCCTTACGTTAAATGTGTCATCAGGAAGACCAATTCCTAGAAACGGACATCATGTTTGATAAAGCAGTGGACCAACAAAAATGAGGGAAATCCTCAATGAGATGGATTGACACAGTAGCCACAACAGTGGGCTCAAACATACCAATGATTATGTGGATGGCACAGAACCTGGAGCCATAAATAAGGTCACCATGAGTTTAAACTGACTCAAAGGCAACTAACAACAACAACAACAGCCATAGAACTTTGGGACAATAGTGTATAGTTGCTTGTCATGCTGTTAAGAACACTTACTCTCATTAACTGCAAATTATCAGTAATAGTTGGTTATATCAACAGCCTTGTTGTAGAATGTATAGAAGCAAGGAATAAATTTTGATTAAGAGCTAGTCAATCTGTGGAAATGATTGGCTACCACATTCTCATTAGGTGATTTTGGACCTCTGTCCATAGGAGGGAATCTTCCAAGTGAAGGACCGGTAAAACATTATCTCCTCCCCAATTGTATTCCCAGAATGTATTTATGATCCTACAGAATACTTTTCTGCAGTCAAATTCAAAAGCTTGAGGGCTGAAGCCTTGAGTGACCTTTGGACTTAAGCTGTGGTCTAAGAAATTGAGATAGGGAATCAGTCTACTGTGAGTGCCAGGAATTCATTGGGGGAAAACTTTGGGATATGTTAGAACCATAATGAAGAACAGAATGTGGATAAATAGCAAGGAAATAGGAAACCAGAATATAGGAGGCAGTTCCTAATTAGAATACAACCTAGCACCGATTTGGTCTAGCAGTTCTTTGACTGGGTCAAATACATGCTGGTTTTGCAGTGATATAAAGGCTGGACCTACATAGGTTACCAATTTTTAAATAATTACAGTGACTAAAACTTACTGTATATAATTTAATCCTTCTTTGACTCAGAAAGCACTTTAAAAATCCACGTCTTTCTCAGAGTCCTCACTTTTATGCATAGTATTGAACAGTTGATTTCTTATGAATACATTGAAGAATAAACCCAGTATTATTGTAGATAGATAACCTTGGATGACAAACAAAGCCAAACATTTGGAGGCAAGAGCTATTAGAGGAAGCTTTTTCTGCCTCTGCACAATTGGAGTGACATTGTTCAGGGTCAGTTCATCTGAACCCATCCTTATTTATGCATGATCTGCAAAAGAGTGGTTTCACACAGGGGCATGGGCAGGAATGGTAGGAAGTTGTAATTGTGAGAGTGCCAGACACATAGGTGCTTAGTAAATAATTATCTGCTATTCACAATGTAGATATTAGGCTATTCTTTATGGCCTTCAGTAGTTTATTTGGTTCATTCAAAATTCTATATGGTATGAAGTAGATACTTTGCAAGACATTGGAGAAACAAAGGAAAGACATAGCCTCTTTTCTTGAGGAGCTCATAATCTCATGAGGAAGATAAAAGAATACATAATTTAAATATTATGTGAGAAGTACCCTACCTATAGTAGACTCTCAATAAGTGTTTGTTAATTGAATAAACATTATTCTGACTATCTAGCTTAGGGGTTGAAAATGAGACTGGTTTCTTTTGATGGGAAACCGTTTTATTAAGGAGGAAAAAAAATATGGTCTTAGTCTTATGTTTCAGTGTGTACAGAGTTATTAATTCACAGTTCCAGATATCATTCAAGACCCGTGATAGCTGGCCCTCTGTTCCTACTTCCACACATCTCTGTGTTATCTTTACATTAGCCTAAGATGGCAGCTATATATATTTTCATAAGTAAAGACAGTATCTGAACTTATTCTTTCTATTATAGGTAACAACATGGTGGATATGGGAAATATTATATTTATATTGAATGAACTACAAGAACAGTATGAGGATGTTTGTAAGTGAGCTCTTGTTGCTACAGCAAGTTTTAGTTATAAATAAATCGTCTTTAAATTAAATCCAAATTTATAGGCTTTATCTTCTGGATTTTGAAAGCTTTCTCTGAACTCTTTACCTTAATTCTTAAATCAGAGAGATAACAACTTAATGTAATATCTAAATATGCCTAATTAATATTGATTATATACAATGAAGGAGCTCTGGTGGCGAGAGGTCTGCGGTTTGATCCCACCAACTGCTCTATGGGAAAAAAATGTGGCTGTCTCCTCTCGTAAAGATTATAGCCTTGGAAATCCTCTTGGAGCAGTTCTTCTGTGTCCTTTTGGGTTGCTATGAGTTAGAGTCAATGGTAGTGAGTTTGGTTTTGGTATATACAATGACTATTATCAATTTTATCTTTTTCTCAATATATTGCAACAGAAAGTCAATTTTAAAATGAAATAATAACACTAAAAAAAGATAAAACTTAGTTTGCAATTTATAGGTCATTCTGACATACTGACATTGACCCTTTAAAAATTTTTACTGTTTTTAGCTATCATTTGTTATTTAGTTTTTCTTCATTAGTACATTGTTTTTATGCGTTCCTGTTGCACATCATGTTACTCCTTACTGTTTCTCTGATTTGTCCAAATATCATTTGGTCAAGATTATCCATGCACACACTTTTAAGAATTATTTGGTTCTGTGAAGCTTGTTAAATACCACCCCCCTCCTTCAAATTAGCCTCTAGCCTGACCTTCCTCCCAGCTTCTCTAGAGGCCAATATTTAAAATGTTTTAGCTGATTGCTTGATATTTATCTTCATAACTCTAAAAAACGTGTTTATATTGCTATTTCTTTTTTTATAATTTATTTTATTTTGTTGTTGAGAATACACACAGCAGAACACACCAATTCAACAGTTGCTATGTATACAATTCAGTGACATTGATTACATTGAGTTGTATAACCATTCTCACCCTCCTTTTCTGAGTTGTTTCTTCCCCATTAATATAAACTCACTGCCCCCTAAGTTTTCTGTCTAATCTTTCCAGTTGCTATTGTCAATTTGATCCCATATAGATAGATTTTAAAAGAGCATAATGCTCAAGGCAGACATTCTTTACTAGTTAAGCTAAACTATTGTTTACTTTTAAGAAAACTATAGGGGATATTTTTGGTTTATGATTTAAAGATTATCTTAAGGCAAGTTTTGGGGGTTCACCCAGCCTCTGTGAATCCAGAAAATCTGGATTCCATGAGAATTTGAAATCCTGTTTTGCATTTTATATTGCAATTTCTTGATTTTTAAATTTTGAGTAGAAACAGTGTCTACTTCCTACTGTTAAAAAAAAGATTTAGCTCTGTTTGATCTTCCCTGTTCCCACCACGCGCACTTACTTTTCATATACTTACCTATACTTCCAATATAGTTATATGGTAATTTAATTAATTTTTATTCAGTATTTATATTAATATGTCTATATAAACCCTATTCACAGCTGAGCCATATAGTATCCATGGTTACTTTCTTTTTCTGTGCGATCCCCTCCCAACTTTGAGTTAAGAATTGTCTTATTTATTTGCTTGTTTCTTAAAAGTATTTTTATTACTAATCCAGGCCCAAACTCTGTCAACCACAAACTCTGTCTAGATAATCCTCTCCATAAGTTTGGATACACCAGGTATTCTATCAGTTTTGTCTTCTTGACGAAATCTCCCTTAGATACTTCTGATAGTCTCCAATATGGATTTGTTGCCCTCCACATCTTAAGTGCAGCTATCAGCCTGTGATTTTCATTCACTTCTTCTATTTCTCTCCTGTATCAGAGCTCCAGTTTCCTTTCCCCTGTGTCTTTCTCTCTATTTCTCTTTTTAAAATTTCCTTATTTTGTTGTGGAGCACATTATCTAGGAACTTACTCAGAAAAGGTTTGTGGGAAACAATTTTTTAACATCTTGAAATTGTCTTTATTCTGTCTTCAGGCTTGATTCATAGTTTGGTTGGGTATAGGATTCTAGATTGGAAATAATTTTCTCTTACAATTTTGAAGTTTCTAGCTTTCAATGTTGCTGCTGATTTCCAAAGCTATCCTGGTTTCTGATCCTGATTTTTCTCTTTGGAAGCTTATAGGATATTTTATTTGTATCCAGTGTTCTAAAATTTCATGATGGTGTACCTTGATAGATGGTTTTTTTTTTTTTTTGCAACTTTTGGTCTGGGTACAGTGTCCATTAGTTCTTTGAAATTAAAAAAAAATATGGTCTTTTCTTTCCTCTATTTTCTCTGTTCTCTCTCTTTTTTTATTGTGGTAAATATATAGGTAACAAAACATTTGACATTTCAACGATCTTCATTTATACAATTCGTTGACATTAAACGTGTTGTTCATCATGTTATTCGACATCACCATTCTTGAATTTTTCCTTTACCCTTAACAGAAGCTAAATGTCTCTCTAACTCTTATTATTTGGATGTTTGATGCCCTGGACTGGTTCTCCATTTTTTTTAAAAAATCATTTTTTCTACTGCTTTCCTTTTTGTTTTGCTTTCTGGGAGACTTTCTTTCTTTTCTTTCTTTTACTATGTTTTGTTCTGTTATACAGAAGTTTCCCTGAGTTGGAGCTGACTCAAGGGCAACTAACACTAAATAGTTAGAATGCAGTTTGATTTGCTCAGGCCACACTTGTAGTGGGTTAAAGGACATCTGTTTTCTATGTAGAGAGGTAAAGGATTAGAATCATGCTACTGCAGTTTCCATTTCTCTGAAATATAGCTGCTGCCAGTCCTTTTTTCTCACAGACAACTCCATAATTAATTTTTCCTGTGATTTTTTTTTATTGTGCTTTAGATGAAGGTTTACAGAGCAAATTAGTTTCTCATTGAACAATTAATACACATATTGTTTTGTGACATTGGTTGCCAATACCATGGTGTGTCAACAGTCTCCCCTTCTCAACGTTGGGTTCCCTATTACCAGCTTTCTTGTCCCCTTCTGCCTTCTCGTCCTTGCCCCTGTGCTGGTATGCCCATTAAGACTCATTTTGTTTTATGGGCCTATCTACTCTTTGGCTGAAGGGTGAACCTCAGGAGTGACTTCAGTACTGAGTTAAAAGGATGTCTGGGAGCCATACTCGGAGTGTTTCTCTAGTCTCCGTCAGACCGGTAAGTCTTTTTGTGTTTGAGTTAGAATTTTGTTCTACATTTTTCTCCAACTCTGTCCAGGATCCTCTATTGTGCTCCTGTCAGAGCAGTTGGTGGTGGTAGCTGGGCACCATCTAGTTGATCTGGATTCAGTCTGGTAGAGGCTGTGGTAGTTGTGGTCCATTAGTCCTTTGGGACCAATATTTCCCTTGTCTCTTTGGTTTTCTTCATTCTGGGAGATTTTCTTAACTTTATCTTCTATTTCTTCTATTTAACCTTTCTTCTGTGTAACTTTTTCAATTTTCAAAAGCTCTTTTTTGTTCTCTGAATGTTTTTTTATTTTAAAATCCTCCTCTTGTTTCATGGACACTCCTTTTCTTGTTTTTTTGTATGTAATTAATATCTTCTAAAACACTGAGGTTATTGATAATGTTTTAAAAAATTTCCTTTTCATTTGTATTCTCTTTCTTCCAAGTTGCTTTTCTCTATTTTTCATTTTAGAGGCATTTCTCAGATGTCTGGTGATCTTTGGTTGTCTGTTCATATTTGAGAATGGTGAACTAAAAAGTTGTTTGGAAGCTCTGAGACTGAGGTTAGAACTAATTGACTATGGGCTCATCACGGTAGAGCCATGGTTCTCAATTGGAGGCAATCTCCCTGCTATTCTATCCCTCCAGGGACATTTGGCAATGTCTGGAGACATTTTTTTTTAAATTGTACTTTAGGTGAAAGTTTACAGAGCAAATTAGTTTCTGATTAAACAATTAATACACAAATTGTTTTGTGACATTGGTTGCCAACCCCTTGATGTGTCAACACTCTTCCCTTCTCCACCCCCAATTCCCTGTTTCTATTCATCCAGTTTTCCTGTTCCTTCCTGCACTCTTGTCCTTGCTTTTGGGCTTGTATACGTGATTAAACTATGAAGCACGTTCCTCCCATGTGTTATTGTTTGTCCTATAGAACTGTATAATCTTTAGCTGAAAGATGAACCTCGGGAGTGACTTCAGTACTGAGTTAAAAGGGTGTCCAGGAGCCATACTCTCAGGGTTTCTCAGCAAGTCTGGTCCTTTTTTATTTGTGAATTTGAAGTTTGTTATACATTTTTCTACCACTCTGTCCAGGACCCTCTATTGTGATCTCTGTCAGAGCAGTTGATGGTGGTAGCTGGGCACCATCTTGTTGTTCAGGGCTCAGTCTGGTGGATGTTGTGGTAGTTGTGGTCCATTAGTCCTTTGGACTAATCTTTCCCTTGTGTCTTTGGTTTTCTTCATTCTGCTTTACTCCAGCTGGGATGGGACCAGTAGCTGTATCTTAGATGGCCGCTTGCAGACTTTTAAGATGCCAGATGCTACTCACCACAGTCAGATGTAGAACATTTTCTTTATAAACTATGTTATGCCAATTGAGCTAGATATCTCCCGAGACCATGGTCGCAAGCCCTCAGCCCAGTAGCTAGGTCCCTCAGGGAGTTTGGATGTCTGTGAAACTTCTATGACTTTGACTTGGTCAAGTTTTGCTGATGTCCCCAGTCTTGTGTCTTGTCTTACACTTCACCAAAGTTACCACTGATCTATTGTCATTTAGTGTTTTCCCTCCCTGCCCCTCCCATCCCTCATAACCATCAAAGATTATTTCATTCTGTGTGTAAACCTTTTCATGAGTTTTTATAATAGTGGTCTCATATAGTATTTGCCCTTTTGTGATTGACTTATTTCACTGAGCATAATACCCTCCAGATTCATCCATGTTGTGAGATGTTTCTCAGATTCATCATTGTTCTTTATCATTGCTTGGTATTCCATTGTGTCTATGTACCATAGATTGTTTATCCATCTATCTGTTGACGGTCACTTAGGTTGTTTCCATCTTTTTGCTATTGTGAATAATGCTGCAGTGAACATGGATGTGCATATGTCTATTCGTGTGATGGCTTTTATTTCTCTAGGATACGTTGCTAGATATGGGATTGCTGGATCATATGGTATTTCTATTTCTAGCTTTTTAAGGGAGCACCATATCATTTTCCAAAACGGTTGTACCATTTTGCATTCCCACCAGCAGTGCATAAGAGTTCCAATCACCCCCATGTTTTTTTTTTTTTTTTAATGGAGACATTTTTGGTTATCACAACTTGGGTGGTGTTATGAACATCAAGTGAGTAGAGGCCAGGAATGCTGCTAAACATCCTGCAATGCACAAGACTGCCCCCTTCAACAAATAATTATCTGGTCCAAAATGTCAGTAACGCAGAGGTTGAGAAGTGCTGCTATTTGTTCCTTCTTTAAATGATTACTGTCCTGTGCTGCCTATTGCCCAGTGTCTGAAAACTGTGACTTTCCATATATTTTGTCTGATTTTTTTAGTTGGAGGATAAATCTAGTCCTTATTACTGTGTCTTGGCCCAAATCAAAAAAGTTTAAAGTGGAAGTATTTAAACATATTAAATCAGCAGAATATATTTAATCTAGTTAATAGCTCAGTCTTTTGTTGATCAGCTCTGTTAGATTTTTCAACTTAATAACTTTGTTTTATGTGTTTAAGCAACTGATAATTTCTTGAATAGCTTTTATGAGGACTTTTTTTTTTGAAAAATATTATAAGTTGTAGAGGTAAGTAAAATAATTGAATATGTATCCCTTACCTAGCAATTATGGAAGAGCCAGACCTGGATGAAACTACTTCAGTTCGAAAGTTATCAAAGCTATCTCGACGCTCTCTACAATTTAAGAAGATAGGCAGTTTACCTTCCAGACTGTCTGAAATTTCAGTAACCCAAAAGTTAAACAGAAAAAGCCTCCAACATCATAGTAAAATTATGGAGAATAATGATAACCTTGAATTTAAAAGTCCAAAAAATACTTGGCAAATAAAAAAAATCTTGGAAGAAGATGATGACAGTGATGTAGGATCCCAGGAATCATACCCAAAGGATGGCATAAACCTAAAAAAACATTCAGACAAGGCTGAAATTCATGACTTAAAATATAAACCACAAAGGTTGAAGAGTATTTCAAACTTCAAAAAGTCTCTGGATAAAAGTGATATTTCTAGTATTTCAGAGTTAAAGAAGCCAGCTGTAAGAAGGCATTCCAGCTTGCTGAAAGAGATTTCATCTAAGGAAAAAACTGCAATTGATACTCTGGGTCAGTATCATATACGTAAGTCAGAATTTAGGTCATTAAATTTTTGTATTATCATAGAAATGAGAAGAATGAATCACTTATTAGATAGTATTAAGCATTTCAGTTGTCAATAATTTGCATAACCACCACCTATGGTACATAGGCCAGTGGATGCAATACTGTGGTTTTGATGGTAGTTTCTTTCCAGATGCCCCAACTTTCCATAGTTTGGGGGATCCCAACCTTGATAAGTTTATTTAGTGATTGATTGGAGTCATGGAAGTTCCATAGCAAGTAGAGGGCTTCTTTTTCTTTGGAAATCTGTTTATTTTGTAGTTTATTTAGCCAAAGTTGTAGGAAGTCTATATGAAATTTTTGCTTAGAGTTCCATAATTTAAATATATGATAGCCATAGTACTTACGGTATTATCTCTTATGGATATGGGAATATCAAGACAAAATAATTCATAACTACACATCCCAGTCCCCCAAGGCTTTATGGTCTTCCTCAAAGATGAGCAATGGTTTCCCAACAAATACATGTGACACCTCCACCCTCTTTCTGTACTACTTCAGTCACATAGGTGCTGTCTGTGGAACCTAATTAAACACTCCTTCCTGTAATCCTTTGCTGAAGTTACTTACTTGATGGTAATTGAGCAGCTATGAAATGTGACTGCTTCCAGAATTAAAACAATTTTTTTAAACTTTTCATTTTAAAATAGTTTTATATTTATAAAAGTCTTAAAAATTGTTAAAAATTCCCATATACCCTTCATTGTTTCCCCAAATGTTAAGATCTTATATAGCCACAACATAACTAGGAAATTTATACTGACACAATACTGTTTATTAATCTGCAGACCTTATTCAAATATTGTCTAGTGTTCTACAAATGTCCTTTTGGTCCAGGATCCAATCCAGGATCACGTATTACATTTAGTTTTCATGTGTCCTTAGTCTCCTCCAATCTGGATGGTTCCTTAGTTTTTCATTTGACACTTTTGAAGAGGATTGGCAAGATATTTTGTATAACATCCTTCATTTTGTGTTTTCCTGATATTTCTTAATGAATAAATTCAGGTTATGCATTTTTGGCCAGAATACCATAGAAAGGGTAGTGTGGCTTCTCAGTGCATCAAATCAGGGGGCTGATGATGTGCGTGTGTATCTGCTCCCAGGGTTTTATGTTTTTGAAGGTTGTGAACTGAAAGCATGGTACGGTAAAGTAAAAGGGAGAGAGAAGAGATTTCAAAATTTTTTGCTTGGAATCCTGGAATTTAAATAAAACACATTGGTGTTTTGATCTCTTGGAATCATTCATTATATTCTAATCACAAGAAAGTAGCATTGGCTAGGCCACTGGAACAGGCTGTTCAAATAAGTAGGCTATAAATGTTTATAGAATTTCAGTACAGTTTTGGGCTTGAGTTATAGGAGAATGGTTAACTATAAAACACAACAGAAAAGTGGAGAGAAAAGTAATCCTTCTGTAAGGTAATACTAAGTAGATAAAAGTTTCTTTTTGATTATTAAAGATTTTAGGTACCAATTATTATTGTTAGACATACAAATTCTGTTGCTTACTAATCCTCCACATTTTGCAGATTTAGAAAGTGTCTGTAAAGCTATCCGTAAACTCAAAGAAAATTACGTTGCTGCAGAAGAACTTCAGTCCATTTTGCCTTCAGTAGGAATTACTTTATCAGATAAAGAGTTCCAGAAGATTGTGACAGACACTACTAGAAATGGTGCGATATATAATAACAAAATTTTGGGGAAGTTTCGATATTTTTATGGGATAATATTAAATATTGGTGCAAGTTCTATCAACTTGGAATGGGACAGAATGGGTCATTCTAAAGGAACTTCAGAAAGAACAGATATAAAAATAGAAAGTAGTAAAAATAGAAAGTCTGACCTAATGGATTAGTTTGGAGGAGGTAGGCCTTCCATATTTCAGAATTGTTTCGGTATGGCTCTTTATCACTAACCCTAGCTGTGCCTTCTAGGGTGAGACAGACCCTGGGAAAGCCTGATCTAGTTGTACAGAGATTCAGATAGTAAGACCACAGTCTTCAAGGAGTATAAAAATCTCTAAGCAAATAGCCCAGGGTTCCAAAAAGAAATAATTGGAGATACCAAAATGTAGTTGGAATTTAGGGCTAGTGATACGTAAACAATCCAGGCAGGCATTTAGCATCTGGATGTTTAATGGCATATTACAGTCACCATGCTAAGTTCAAGGGAGAGTTTAAGTTTAGTTTTTGTATTGGAGACATTGTTTTATCAGTAACTAAGAATTGCCCACAGCTGAAGTTGAGTTGAGAAGAGGGAAGAGGCAAAATTTTGATAAAGTCTTACTTAAGATAACATTTGAAGTAAATTCTCAGAACCTGAGTGCAATTTCTTAGCTAAGGTAGATAGGAAGGAGGATTTTTTGATTAAAAGAAATATCTGTTGTTGCTGTTAGGTGCTGTTCAGTTGGTTCTGACTCATAACAACCCTATGCACAGCAAAACAAAATATTGCCCGGTTCTGCACCTTCCTCCCAATTATTGCTGTGTTTGAGCCCCTTGTTGCAGCCACTGTGTCAGTCCATCTCATTGAGGGGCTTCCTCTTTTTCACTGACCCTCAACCTTACCAAGCATGATATCCTTCTCCAGAAACTGGTCCCTCCTGATAACACGTCCGAAGTATGTGAGGTGTAGTCTCACCCATCCTCACTTCCGAGAAGCACTCTGCCTGTACTTCTTCTAAGACAGACTTATTTGTTCTTCTGGCAGTTCATGGTATTTTCTCAAAGGCATCAATTCTTCTTTGATATTCCTTATCCATTGTCCAGCTTTCGCATGCATATTAGGCGATTAAAAATACCACAGCTTGGGTCAGGCACCCTTAGTCCTCAAGGTGAAATCTTCACTTTGCGACACTTTAAAGAGGTGTTTTGCAGCAGATTTGCCCAATGCAATACGTTCTTTGATTTCTTGACTGCTGCTTCCATGGGTATTGATTGTGGATCCAAGTAAAATGAAATCCTTGACAACTTCAATATTTTCTCCATTTATCTTGATGTTGCTTATTGGTCCAGTTGTGACGACTTGTGTTTTCTTGATGTTGAGGTGTAATCCTTACCGAAGGCTGTAGTCTTTAATCTTCATCAGCAAGTGCTTTAAGTCCTCTTCACTTTCAGCAAGCAAGGTTGTGTTATCTGCATATCGAAGATTGTTAATGAGTCTTCCACCAATGTTGATGCCCTGTTCTTCTTCATATGGTCCAGCTTCTCAGATTATTTTCTCTGCATAGAGGTTGAATAAGTATGGTGAAAGGATACAATCCCAATGCACACTTTTCCTGATTTTAAACCACACAATAATCCCTTGTTCTGTTTGAACAACTTCCTCTTGATCTATGTACAGGTTCCACATGAGCACAATTAAGTGTTCTGGAATTCCCATTCTTCTCAATGTTATCCATAATTTGTTATGGTCCATACGGTCAAATGCCTTTGCATAGTCTATAAAACACAGGTAAACATCTTTCTGGTATTCTCTGCTTTCAGCCAGGATGCATCTGACATTAGCAATGATATCCTCCATTCCATGTCCTCTTCTAAATCCAACTTGAATTTCTGGCAGTTCCCTGTCAATGTACCCCTGCAACCATTTTTGAATTATCTTCAGCAAAATTTTATTTGCATGTGATATTAATGATATTGTTTGATAATTTCTGCATTGTTGGATCACCTTTCTTTTGGAATGGGCACAAATATAGATCTCTTCCAGTCGGTTGGCCAGGTAGCTGTCTTCTAAATTTTTCGGCATATTTGGAAGTTATGTGCATCTCCAGTGCTGCATCCATTTGTTGAAACATTTCAGTTGGTATTCGGTCAGTTCCTGGAGCCTTGTTTTTCGCCATTCCCTTCAGCGCAGCTTGGACTTCTTCCTTCAGTACCACAGGCTCTTGATCATATGCTACTGCCTAAAATGGCTGAACATCAACCAATTCTTTTTGGTACAGTGACTCTGTATTTCTTGCATCTTCTTTTGATGCTTCCTGCGTCATTCAATATTTTGCCCATAGAGTCCTTCAGTATTGCAACTTGAGTCTTCAATTTTTAATTCAGTTCTTTCATGTTGAGAAATGCCGAGCGTGTTCTTCCCTTTTGGTTTTCTAACTCTAGGTCTTTGCATGTGTCATTATAATACTTTACTTTGTCTTCTCAAGCCGCTCTTTGAAATCTTCTGTTTAGCTCTTTTACTTTATTTCTTCCATTTGCTTTAGCTACTCGACGTTCAGGAGCAAGTTTCAGAGTCTTTTCTGACATCCATTTTGGTCTTTTCTTTCTTTCCTGTCTTTTTAATGACACTTTGCTTTCTTCGTATATGATGTCCTTGATGTCATCCCACAGCTCATCTGGTCTTTGGTCATTAGTGTTCAATGTGTCACATCTGTTCTTGAGATGGTCTCCAAATTCAGGTGGGCTATACTCAGGGTTGTATTTTGGTTCTCATGGACTTGTTTTAATTTTCTTTAGCTTCAACTTGCATATGAGCAATTGATGGTCTGTTCCACAGTTGGCCCCTGGCCTTGTTCTGTCTGATGATATTGAACTTTTCCATTGTCTCTTTCCACAGATATAGTTAATTTGATTCCTGTGTTTTCCATCTGGTGAGGTCCAAGTGTATAGTAGGCATTTATGTTGTTGAAGAAATGTGTATGTAATGAATAAGTCGTTGGTCTTGCAAAATTCTATCATGCAATCTCTGGCATCATTTCTGTCTCCAAGGGCATATTTTCCAAGTACCCATCCTTCTTCTTTGTTTCCAACTTCTGCATTCCAATCACCAGTAATTATCAATGCATCTTGATTGCATGTTTGATCTATTTCAGACTGCAGAAGTTGGTAAAAATCTTCAATTTCCTCATCTTTGAAATATCTAAGGAGTGAGTATCAGTATAACTACTGAGCCGTTTTTGCTTCTTATCAGGATTGGTATGATCACCATAGAGGGTTTATATCTGAAAATAGGTAGTTAAGTGAATCAGCTGTGAACTAGGGGTACATACATATCTATGAAAAAAGAAAACCGTTGCTATTGAGTTGATTCCGACTCATAACGACCCTATAGGACAGAGTAGGACTTCCTCATAGGATTTTCAAGGAGTGGCTGGTATATTCAAACTGCCAGCCTTTTGGGTGCCAGCCGAGCTCTTAACCACTGCGTTACCAGGGTTCTGAAATAGGGGTGAGGGTAGGAATACTAGGATCTGTCAAGATTGGTTAGTATTGTCAAGGTATCCTAACTGATAGCATATTGACTGAGTTTTCATAATGGTGTGATATAAATATACTCCTTAACTTTGCCATGGTCACCTTTCCTTTTTCTGATCTACGGAGAATTTAATACCTAACTCAATCCTTTGCACATAATAGGTATTGAAAAGGCAGGGAGCATGTCTTACATATTTTTGTATCTTGGTGCCTAGCACAGTTCTTGGCACTAATATGCCCTCAATAATTGCTGAAATAAAATCTACTGACCTAATTTAGAAAGGTTCATCTTAAATGTAGGGATGTAAATAAGAAATAGGATGATGATGAAATGAAGGATCAAATAATATTTTTAATAGTTGTATTAAAATGTGAATTTCCCTTTTATGTAAAAATACAACAGAACTTATGACCGAAACTATTTTACAGAAAATGAAATGGTGAAGTTAGATGATTTTATGAGAGCTCTTGCCAAGGAGCGAAGTCTCTCCAAATGTGCTGGTAGGTAGAAATTTATTTTAAAATTATTTGGTGGAAAGAGCACTTCGATTGAGAAGAATTAAGTTCAGTAGAACTGGGTTTGCTTTTGGATAGATTCTTAATAGCCCTGTAATCCTTAGGCAAGCCATTTAGCAATTTTTTCTTAACTTGCTACATCAAATAGCTAACTTGCCTATCTCACAGATTGTCATGTGGATTTTACAAGCTGAAAAGTTCTACTCAGACATACAGTAATATTAATGATAATGATAAGATCAAATAGATAATTATCCCCAGTAATTAGTAATTGATGGGTGATTTGATTTTTTATAAAGAACTTGTTTGGTTCACTTTTGGTTTAGAACATTTTAAAAACAGTTTTCTTGAGTTATAATTTATATACATAATATTAAAACTGGAAACAATTCAAATGTCCATTAACTGTGGGCTATCAACAAAATGGAGTATGTTGTTGTTGTGGTTAGGTGCCGTCAAGTCGGTTCCAACTGATAGCAACCCATGTACAACAGAACGAAACACTGCCGGGTCCTGCGCCATCCTTACAATCGCTGTTATGCTTGAGCCCATTGTTGCAGCCACTGTGTCAGTCCGTCTCATTGAGGAGGGTCTTCCTCTCTTTCACCTCTACTTTACCAAGCATGATGTCCTTCACCAGGGACTCATCCCTCCTGATAACGTGTCCAAAGAATGTGAGATGTAATCTTGCCATGCTTGCTTCTAAGGAGCGTTCTGGTTATACTTCTTCCAAGACAGATTTGTTCGTATATCCATATAACTTAATGCTATTTAGCAATACAAAGTAATGAACTACTAATACATGCTACAACATGAATTAACCTAAAATCATTATGCAAAGTGAAGGAAGCTAGGCATAATAGACTTACGTATTATATGATTCCATTTATAGTCAGTGTCCAGAAAAGGCAAATTTATAGAGACAGAAAGCAGAGCAGTGGTTGGCTAGGAATGAGACTGTGGATGGGCATGAGGAAATTTGGAGAGTGACAGAAATGTTATAAAACTGGATTGTGGTGATGGTTATATAACTCTAATTTTACTAAAAATCAGTGAATGGATTAATTTTATTCATGTATATTATACCTTAATAAAACTCTTTCTGCTACTGAGAAACAGACTACTTGGGAATTTTTAATTGCTGGAGAATTAAATGGAGAAATATTATATTTTTCCTATGTATATTCAGTGATATTCTTATCAGTGCAGTTAAATTGGTGCTTCCTTAGGTGCAGAGACTATAACAAAGTCATATGCTGTGTTTTTGACTCTAATTTTGAAACATATTTTCAGTATTATTGAAGATACCACATTTCTGAAGTGATTTATATTTTTGCTAACTTTGTGTTAGAACTAAAATTCATCTTATTTATTGCTGGTATTTTCCTTTGAATTTCCATTTTTAATACGTATTAGCACATTGCTTTCTTTCAGGATTATCTGATGTCATTAAAGCCATTGATAAAATCAAAGAGGAAAATGTCGATTGTGAGGATCTGAATACTTGTCTTCAAAATTTTGGAGTTTATCTTTCTAAGTCAGAATTTGAGAAGATCAAAGATATGACTCACGTTGATGGTAAGTACAACATTTTCAGGCAAACTAGATTGACACATCTGGAGGGAGGGTCAGTTTGTAATTTTTTTCCTCAGAATAATGGCTTCATTGTTTTTATTAGAAAAATATTCATAAAAATTAAACCAATACTGAAAAATTAAAAAAATACTCTAAAGTGCAGAGAAAATTCATTCAAAATCACAATATCTAGAAACAACCAGTATTAATAGTCTTTTCAGACATTTTTCCCTAGGCAAAAATGCAAATAAAAAGAAAGCAGGGTTTGTGATCTTGCTATTTGACAGGTAGAAATCAGGACAGAAAGCATTAAATAGGACAAAGAAAGACTTCTTATCATGTCAAAGCCCCAAGTCACAATAAAGGTATACCAGTTTTGAATATCTGTGCCCCATATAACTTAAAAGCAACTTTCCTAAAGTAGAAACTATAGCAGTTGTGTGAGGTGGAATAGACAAACACACTAATAGGAGATTTTAAACATAATACTCAGTCCAAACAGGTCTAGTGAACCAAAAAAAAAAAGAAAGGAAAGATACATAGAAGATCTAAGTGACATAATCAAAAAGGTAGATCGTAAGGATACAATAATTCGATATCATTAAGATGTCACTTCTCTCCTTGATAATACATAAATATAATCCTAATAACAATACCAAAAATATTTATTCTATATACAAAAAATTTAATTCTAAAGTCCCCGTGGAAAATTCATCAAAGAAGACTAGCCAGGAAAACTCTGAAAAAGATCAATAAGTATGGAACCGTTCTGTTGTTAGTTGCTGTCAAGTCAATTCTGGTTGATAGTGACCCCATGTGTACAGAGTAGAACAACTTCATAGAATTTTCAAGGCTGTGACCTTTTGGAAACAGATTGCCAGGTCTGTCTCCTGAGGAGCAACCAAGAAACTTCTGGGTGGACTCAAACGGCCGACCTTTTGGCTAGTAGTCAAGTGTCTAACTGTTTGTGTCAGCTAGGGAACAGTTCTACCAGATAATAAATCATACTGTAAAGCCTATATGGACAGGCCAGTGGGACAAAATAGATGGTCCAGAAATACACCTAGCTACGTGAGGACGTTAGTAGATGGTAAAGGTGGCATCTTAAATGGCTGGGGAAAAATGGACTTTTAATAGTCTGGAAAAAAAAAAACAAAAACAAAAAACCAAGTGCCTGTAAGTAGAGAATAAGTTGAATAAACTCTAGTACATTCACAGCTGCGAAAAGGAGTGAAGAATCTCTCTGTGCTCTATAGAGTGATGTCTAGGACACTTTGTTAAGTGAAAATGAAAAGGCAGAGGAAAGTTGTTTAGAGTAGGCTAGCTTTTATCTATCAGTTGGAGAGGCAGTATATGAATATACATAGGCATTTCCTTATATTAAAAAAGGAAATAGAAAGCAGAAAATTAACCCTTCTTTCCTATGGAAAATACAAATTACTAATAATCATATGAAAAGATTCTAGTAATGAGGCATGTGCAAAATTTAGGTCACAATGAGATACCTTTTTATACCAAGTAAATTGGCAAAAATGAAGAAGTCCGTTAATCCAAGTGTTACTAAATATGATAAAAGTGATAAAATCACTTTGGAAAACAGTATGTAGTATCTTGTAAAGTTTTTATACTCCATGGCTCAGAAACTCCACTCTTAGCTATAAATCTCAGAATATCTCTTGCACTTACATACCAGGAGCCGTGCTGAAGAATGTACATGATGGAACTGATCTTAATAGCAAAAACAAAAACAAACCAAAAAAACACCCCAGATGTTCAGCAACAGAATGTATAAATAAATTGTGGTATATTCATATAATGGAAAACTATACACTAGTGAAAATGAACTATAGTGATATGTGAAAATGAACTATAGTGATATATGAAAATAAACAAATATTATATTATTATGTATAATATATATTATATATGAATAATAAAGTCTTAGGTTGTGTATAGTATAATATCAATTTTTATAAAGCTCAAAAACAAGAAAATTAAAGAATATTCTGTTTAAGATTACATATAAAAAAGCAAGAGATTAGTAAAGTTGAAAAAATTCAGAAGTGTTCTCATTGTGGGGGCAGAAGGAGAGTGAAATGGGAAGAGCCCAGAAGCAGATACAATACTACTGGTAATGTTTATCAGTTGGATGGTTGCTTCACATTTGTTTATTTTATTATCATGTTTCATAATTCATGTTTGTTAAAAATTTTCTTTTTATGTATAAAATAAATGTTATCAAAAATAAGAGAATCATTTATTTATTGCTTAGAAAGTTACATCTTCCTGTTAGGGAATATTAAATTTTCATTAACTTCAACATTCTCCCAGGAATTTTCAAGGTCATTTTTTTATGTCTCCAAAAATTTGGCTATGAACACAAAGTAGTTTGGTGCTGTTTGAAGTAAACTGCTCAAAGGAATATTTAATCTCTACTAGGAATAGGCTGGAATAGGCTGTGCTTTATCTTTTACGATTGCTTTAGAATATTTTTTGTCAATGGGATAAAAAAAGGACTGGAGTTATCAAAAACTCATCATATCTATATAAAACCTTTGTGTGGCCTTACAAAATTGTTAGAGTTTTTTTTATCCGTTCTAACATTGGGATATTATGAGGAATTACATGTTACCAAGGAAAGATATTTTCTAAGTATAAAATGACTATTAAAATGTTTATTGGTTTCAGTAGAATTCTGGAGTAAAGATATCAGTGTAAATCTAGATAGCTTGATGTGGAAAAAAGCAGGAGTCAGGAGAGCTTGCTTCTACTCCCTGATTCTGTATTTCCCCTGTGACCTTAGAAAAAGTCACATTATCGTACAAATTATTTTAAATAGCGTTTTTAATCTGTAAAAGAGCATACTAATATTTCACCTATGTATCTAACTGAATTATTGTATAATGTATGTTAAAATTTAAAAATGTTGTACATGTGAAAGAGACCATAGTGATTTTGATAAATTTTCTTGTTGTTTTTCAGTGTTTACTTTTTGACTTAAGTTGAACTGCATTTTCCCTTTACATCTATATATTTTTATTGCCTAGTATTAGTTGGTAGCTATAATTATGTTAGTTATATATTCCTGAATATATGACTTATTTTTACATTAATCAGTATTTGTCATAATAATTTAATACTTAATGATACTGAAGAAAATATGTTTCTTTCTCCCTTAGAAATGAGAAAAGTAAATTTTAAAGAATTCGTTGATAATATGATGAACAACACGGAACGCTTCTCTGAAAAATTATGTAAGAACGTCATGTCTTGTGCTTTATGTGGATCAAGCTGTTTGACAGATTTTAGAAGAATAAAGATACTAAGAGAGCTAGTTATCCTGTATGTCATCAGGCAAATAAACACCTGGGTTACTGCTGCTACGTTTGGCCTTACTCATCTCACTATCTCCCCCTAATTCTACAACAACTTCCACATGTAGTCGAATTGAAAGCTATTGTCATCTTACTTTTCATCCTGACACTTTATTATAGAGAGCTAGAACCATGTACTTGAGATTCATTACTTGAAGGACTTAAAATGTCTTCCACTTTGAGAAAGTGATGCCATCTAGTGGCTTTAGCTGAACACCGACATGCAGAATTTCTGGTTTCAAGCTGTTTGCAATTCTTTCCATCTTTCAATTTATTCATTAACATTTATTGAGCCATTACTACGTACCAAACTTTATGTTAAGTTGTGAGTGTGCTAAGATGAAAAGACAGTCTTTGCCACTAAGAAACTCACTGTAAAGAAATATAAGGTCGTATTTGTATATTTTAAACGGAACAAAAACTTGATACTGTATTGAGTGAAGTTAATACTTTAAAAATTGGGGTTAAAGTAACAATTGTGCTATTTTGTGCTTATATATTTGACAATAGCAGATTTTAAGTAACGGTTATTTTTACCTTATAATACAAATTAAGTTAATTTGTCCCCTATACAAGGGTATACAATAAATTGAGTGAAGAGATTATATTGTCAAAGTCCCTTCATTTTTCCTAGGAATTTCAATTTCATGGAGATCAAACATTTTATTAGCACAAATTAATATGTTTAATTATATCATATATTATCTTATTCATATCTATGGTTATATTTCCTTACTCACTCTTAATATTTTATATTTGTGTTTACTTCCTTTCCTTTTTTCTTTATCACACTGCTTAGGGACATGTCTTATTTGTTGGTCTCTATACCTCATTGGGACCTTCCATCCATTTGCCTGTCTACTTTCTCCTTATCCATTGGTCTTCTCCTGTTTTTACATTACTTCCGTATCCAGTTTAAATTCTCTAGTCTGTCTCTCCCCAATACCAAAAATTCCCTTGCCCCTGTATCATTTTGTTACACCTATCTGGCAACACTTCCAGTCTTGAATGAACCCAATTATCTGCCTTCTCCTTTCCTTGTATCTAACAGCATTTCTGGAGGAAAATCACACAACTGAGCAGACTAAAGAAGTACCACTATAAAAAATCTTGGCTTTCAATGTCTGCTGACCATCAATACTATCCAGGAATTATGTGATTTTCCTTTTATTTGGTTAGCTCATCCTCCCACTTTCTGAAACAAGTATTTAAAAGTCTTCTCCTTCCCTGCTCTCATCTGTTATTCTCTTTCTCCTTTCTTTCTCAGCCAAACATTTCAAAAGTGTTGTCTACACCTATTATCTCCACTTCGTCACATCCCACTTCAATCTGACTTCTGCCTTCATCCTCCACTGAAATTGCCCCATGTTACAGAGTGGAATGTTTTATCCGTCCTCTTTCGTGATCTCTCCGAACTTTTAGACATAGCTAACTATTGTTCTTTTTGAGCCCAAGACACTGAGCTTGGCATAGTGCCTTCATTGTGCTTAGGGGTTATTTATTCAGTATTAGATTATGTAACTTTGCCCTTTCATGTCAGAACACAGAAAAATATTCTGATATAGTCATTAGCCTCTTTTATTCACTTTTCACCAAAAAATTCACCTATTTTTATTCTGCCTTTTACTTCTTTTCACTACAGACAAATACTGGCTGAAAAGCATTTCCCCATACTACTTCTATAAAATAGTATTTAATTAGTAAAACTGATGAAACTGATTTCCAGTCATTTTTTTTTCCCCTGAGCAAGTGGATGTTTTAAGACTGAATGCACACAATAACATTTCTGTATAGCATATGCAAGTTGGACTTATCTGTAGTAGTGTAAAAATGATATGGTAGATTCCTACTATTAATTTCTACTATTTGTGGTTAAGCATCAGTCATGGAATGGCACAGGACGGGGCAGTGTTTTATTCCATTGTGCAAGAGGTCACTATGAGTTGGGACCGACTTGACAGCAGCTAATAACAACAAAAACATGGTTAAGCAGACAGTTTAATTTTTGCTCTGGTTGGATTTGACTGTATTTCTGCAAGCATAATCTGTGTGTCTGTCTTTATCTGTATTCATCCAGAAGATATTTATTAAGCATTACTGTATACACAGGCTTTTTCTAGACATAGAATACGAAGATAAGTAAGGAATAATTCTGGCTTACAAGAATTTAGAAAGGGAGATGAAAAATACACTAAAAATTCAAGGTATAAAGAGATTTAAATAAAGTGCTACATAGTTGAGAAAAGGGAACTTTGGTTGGGAAATTAAAGGAAACTTGTGTAGGAAGCAGCATTTCAGAAATCAATGAAAGGTGGGAAGATTATAGACTTTGGACATGTGAAGATAAGGTGAAGGTTCCAAGTTGATGAGATCTATGAGCAAAGAAATATGGTGGATAAGTTCAGGGTGGCAAATGTAGGGTGTATATAAACTGGAAAGGTAGAAGGTAGGATCAGATCATGAATATTTTAAATGTCTGGCTTAAGGATTTTATATGTTACTTGGTAAATATGAAACCCTTATATTAAAATTGATGAGGAGAAGAGTGAGGTGATTTGAGTTGTATCAGTATATGGGATACATGAGATGGAGGACAAATCTGTCTGGATATAAGTAATCCTTATCTGTATAATGATGACTTTGTATTAGATAACATCTAAGATTCTCTTTGGGTCTAGAATTTTATTTAACCATTCACCCATCCGGTAAATCATTATCGAGCACCAACTATGTGCTAGACACTGAGCTAAGCCCTGGGGATACAGTGGTGAGAAAAACATATGGTTTTAACCTCCATAGGAGCAGATAGCTTCACTTGTAAATTCTACCAAATATTTAAAGAAGAATTCACACAAATACTTCTCAAACACTTCTGGAAAATAGGAGAGAATACTTCCTAACTCATTCTGTGAGGCCAGCATTACCCTGATGTCAAAGCCAGACAGACATCACAGGAGTTGAAAATAATAGACCAGTGACTAATATTCCTTATGAATATGGATGCAAACATTCTCAACAAAATAATAGGAATCCTAATCCAATAACATTTTAAAAGGATTATACACCATGACCAAATGGGATTTATTCCAGGAATGCAAGGGTGGGTCAACATTACAAAACCAATCAATTAATAGAATGATCATCTCAATTGATGCAGAAAAGGCATTTGACAAAGTCCAACACCCTTTCATGATAAAAGCACTTAGCGAACTAGGAATAGAATGAAAATTCCTCAACATGGTAAAGGTATTTATGAAAAACCCACAGCTAACATCATACTTAGTGGTGAAAGACTGAAAGCTTTCTACTTCAGATTAGGAGCAAAACAAGGATGCCCACTTTCACCACTGCTACGCAACATTGCTGTGGAAGTTCTACCAGATCAATTAGGGAAGAAAAAGAAATAGAAGGCATCCAGATCAGAAGGCAGAAGTAAAAATATCTCTATTTTCAGCTATAGAAAACTCCAAAGAGACCACAGGAAAGCTACTAGGGCTAATAAATGAATTCAGAAAAGGTGTACAAGATGTACACAAAGAAATCAGTTGTATCTTATATACCAGCATCAAACAATCTGTAAAGCAAACTGAGAAAACCATTCCTTTTTACAACAGCATCCAAAAGAATAAAATAGCTAGGAAAAAGTTTAGCCAAGGAGGTGAAAGTGTTGTACATTGAAAACTGTAAAATATTGCTGAAAGAAATCAAAGGAGATCTAATAAATGGAAAGACATCCCATGCTGATGTGTTAGAAGACTTAATATTGTTAAGATGTAAGTACTACTCAAAGTGATACACTGATTCAACACAATCCTTATCAAAATTCCAACAGTTGTTTTTGTATAAATGGAAAAGCTGATCCTCAAATTCATACGGAGTTACAAAAAAAACCAAATGAAACCTTTGCTGTCGAGTCAATTGTGACTCGTAGTGACCCTATATGTCAGAGTAGAACTGCCCCATAGGGTTTCAAACTGCAGACCTTTTGGTTAGCAGCCAAATGCTTAACCACTGTGCTACCACATCTCCATTCACGTAGAGTTACAAGGGACCCCAAATAGCCAAAACAATCTTAAAAAAAAAAAGGAGCATTCACACTTCCTGATTTAAGAATGTATTACAAAGCTACAGTAATCAAAACAGTTTGGTACTGTATAAGGATAGACATAAAGACCAATGGACTAGAAATGACAGTCCAGAAGTAAACCCATACATTTGTGGTCATTTGATTTTCCATAAGGCTTCCAAATCAATTCAATGGGGGAAAGAATAGTCTCTTCAAAAAATGGCGCTGGAACAACTGGATCTCCACATGCAAAAGAATGGACTTGGACCTATACTTTATACCATATACAATAATTAATTAAAAATGAACCAATGACCCAAATATAAGAGATAAAACAACTTTTAACAAAACTGTATGGATTGAATTATATCTCCCCCAAATATGTATGGAAATCCTCAGTCCCATTCTCTAGTTTATTGTATTCTGTTAGAATTAAAATATGTATTGAAGTCTTGGCCCCTGCACCTGTGGATGTGACCCTATTTGGAAATAGTTTTCTTTTATTATGAAAGAGTAGGGTGAGTCCTAAACCTAATCACATCTCTGTTATAAAAAGAGCATTATAGACATAGAGACATATACAGGGGGAAGACAGACACCAAGGAATGCCAAGGAACACCAAGGAATGTTGCTAGATACCAGAAACTAAAAGAGAGGCTCACAGAAGGAATCGACATAGCTGAAACCCTGATTTGTAGCCATTAACTTGGCCTTCCCTCGTATTACAATGGAAGATTTTTTCCTGCATCTTTTTAAAGCCAGTTCTCTAGTTGTCGTCTGTATCTGTTTTGCTCTTGCAAATCCTGCAACTATC